TCTTAAAATTATCTATATAGAAGACAATTTTCATTTACAGTTCATCAAGGACCAATATTTCTATATTTCTATATTAAACATGTTTATATATCTTATTTAGCAGTAATTGATATTTCATAATTTTTCAAAAATTTGAATACTTTATCGATACGTATCACTAATAAGTATCGGTGAAATATCTGAGAGTATCGGAATTGAATAAAATTTTCATAATATTTTTAAAGGCTAGGATATTTCATTGACACGTATCGGTGAAGTATCCAAGAGTATCGTGTCGGATACGTATCGGATACGGATACGTGAAGCAATAGGTTCATACCATTCAACATATCTAGGCCCTTCACTTGGTTGGGTGGAAGAAGATTTCTTTCCTGAAATCATTCCTGTGAAATTTCCAATGCATTGAGGGATTGAGCCCATCAAGTTGTTGTCTGAAAGGTCCAAGATTTTCAGTGCAGAAAGTTGGCACAGTTGTGAAGGAATTGTTCCATGAAACTTGTTTTGCCGTAGCCTTAGAATCTGCAATGAGGAGAAAATGTTCCCCATCCATAAAGGTATAGTCCAAGACAGATGGTTCTCTCCTACATCCAAAATTAGAAGATGTTTCAAATTTCTCAAAGATGATGGAAACCCCCCATGAAGGCTGTTGTTGTTCAAATGCAACCAAGCCAACGTGGATAGGTTACCAAGAGAGCTTGGAATAACACCGGATAATTTGTTGGATGCCAAATTTATCTCACTGAGATTTTGTTGAGTAGCACTCCAACAATTAGGAATTTCACCTGATAATAAGTTGCCTGAAAGGTCAAGATTGTACAAGGAGTCTATTTTGCACAATGACTTTGGAATGGAACCACTTATCAGGTTGTTTCCAAGAAGCAAGTGAGTAACATTGGGCAACCTATCAGCAATATCTTGGGGAAGTGACCCAGTGATATGGTTGTTGGTGAGATTCAAGTAGACAAGTTGCTTGGGCCATGTTATGTCAGACACCAAACTCTCCAAATAATTTAGAGACATGTCTAAGTTCTGCAGGTTCAGAAGTTGGCCAATACGGGGAATATTTCCATGTAAAATATTTTCAGAAAGATAGAGGGTGATCAAATTTTTAAGGTGACCAATATTCTGAGGAATTGTACCGTTCAAAGAGTTTCTTGTAAGATCTAGATACTTTAGACTTACAAGCTGCTCTAGACTCCTAGGAATGACACCATGAAAAGGTTCGGTGGCAGAAGATTTCTTTCCTAAAATCATTCCTGTGAAATTTCCAATGCATTGAGGGATTGAGCCCATCAAGTTGTTGTCTGAAAGGTCCAAGATTTTCAGTGCAGAAAGTTGGCACTTAAATTGATTACAAGATCTTGAAGATCTATAGTTGATTATAGAGATAATGATATCAATTTTAACTTTCACCTTACCCTTTTCTTGACGCGTGTTATAAAAAAAATTATTACTTAAAAGTTAAAATTTCAAGTGTTTTCTGTGTTATATAACTGAGAAACAATCTCAATTAAATAGACCAAAATAGAGCAAGTCAATTAAAGAGAACGGAGAGAAAAATAGAGCAAGTTAATGACACTATCATTTATGTATAGAAATTTCACCAAATAGGAGAATGGAATGAGAACAGTAATACAGTATTATATATAAGTAGTAGTGCACTATTATTAACAAGAGAAAAAAAATGGACAAGACATGAGCATAGAAAAAAAAGATGAAAAACTCACTTGGAAATTCTTGAAGCACTTGAAAAGTCACTTCAAACAATCCTCCAAAATCTTATGGGTTTAGATGAGATTGTTTTATGAATTTGGTATTTATAGATACCACTAAAAAGTCCATCAAAATCCTTTTAATACAACAATCCTTTAAAATCCCTATATTTTTGAATACCAATAGATTGTTTTTAAGTTGTAAAAAGTCTCAAATGAATATCAATGAATTTTAATAGACTCTTTAAAAAATCTTAAAAATCTTGATTGAATACCACTGAATTGTTTTTAAGTGATATAACGTCTTGATTGAATACCAACGGACTTTTTTACTCAAAAAAAGTCTTTTAAAATCCTATGAAATCCTAAACCAATATACCCCTCTAAGTATTCAATTTTTTTAAAATAATCAAATCATGGATGGGTATGAGGATGAGGATGGGGTGGATAAATATATACTCATCCCTATTTCTGTCTCCGTTTCCGTCCCTGATTTAATATTTCAGGTTTTACTCGTACCCGTACTCATATCCGGTCAAAGTGAGTATTCCCCGTCAAAGTTGGTAGGGATTCAAATATTATTCACGAGTACAAGTTTATTTACTTGATAGGAAGGAGTCATATTTCCTTGTTAAACTAAAGTTTGATTTATGATCATGCATATGAATTTGTTGAGATAAACAAATTCATTTTGAGTAAAAAAAAAAACAAAATTAGTCTTGGTTGGGAGAAATTCTTGATTAAAAAAAGAAAAAGACTTTCTAGCGTTTAGGAAAATAAGAAAGAGGAAGAAATAAAAAATATATATATATATATATGATAAACGAACTATCCCTTTGCATTTATCCCAAAAGTTTAATTGAACTATTAAGTAACCACACGTTAATAGTTTTATATGTTAGATTTTTAATAAATTTTCTCACCCATGTAGTCATTTTGGTTTGATATTTTAAAAATGAAGAGATATCTACCTATCATTTGTTGAAATCCCTTTTTTTTTTTTGTTAGAAAAGAGTTTTTCTTTTTTAAATAGCAAGTGAGAAAGAACAATTTGTAAATCATTTAGTCACAAAGGCTCAAATGTTACATCGTGAATCATTTACCCAAAAACTTGTCATGTTACCTGAAGACACATGAGTAATTTTATATTTCATCTTTAACACCTTGCCATAATCTTAACAATAATGATTCTGAGCATTTTCGCTTTTCTTCTTACATTTGTCTGATATTAAACGAAGTGCAACCAAATGCTAAAGGATTATACTCAAATTCCGTAAAGCACTTAAAGGTACTAACGAAGTACCCGTTGTTTAATTTTGATGGGAAAGATATGTATTTAAAATCAAAGCATGGGATTAGAGCATAAACAAATCCCTTTAAGCATAGATTATGGGACACTTTTCGTGCCAGTACAATCTAATACACAGTTGACATCTTTGTCGTCATATTCTTTTTGTTTGTTTAATCCACACATTGTAATAGAAATGCTTTCTTGTTTTTTTTACAATTGTTTCTAATTAATCAATTGGGGTTTAGGCTTAAACTAAGACAGAACTGGATTCTCGAAACGTCACATATCTCACACGATATCTTTGTTAATTTCACAAATCATCAATATACGTGTTGATTAATTATGCTCTGAACTTATCAACATAAGTATCAGGGATTCCAATATTCTATGATAAGTATATTTTATCTATTTTTAAATTATTGTTTTCTGAATCTGGCATTTTCATAGAGGGAAATACAAACAATACATTCTCAATTAGTAAAATTTTAATTATGAACTCGGTAAATGTGTTTTAATATCTCAATTTTCAGATAAAAAGGTCTTAATTCCTATATTTCAAAAATAATGGTTCTATCTAGTATTGATTTATGTTATAACTAGTACGTTAATCTATATATACCCACGAATTGCGTTAGTCTAAAATGACATGTAAATGTACTAAAAAGTTAACAAATCTATTTATATAAATCATGAGTGCCTATTTATCTATATATTAAAATAATGTCTTCATGAAAATAACTTGTATTATTGTGTTTGTTATTAATATTTTGTGGAAAAAAATATGGGAAACTTATTTAAAATAATATTAATATTTTTCCTCTGGACAGAAATATCAGATTAAAAAAATCACTTTTGGTCCTTATGCAATATTGATCTCTAAATTTTATTTTATTACAAATTTAGTTCATGTAGTTTTCAAAAATAAGTAATATTAACTCACTCATTAACAATTTAGCATGATATCCAAAATTAAACAAAAAAAAATGTTTATGTGCCCGCATTATTTTATAGAGAGAGAAAGGAAAGTTACACTTACTCTAAGAATAACTCTATTGAATAATTTATATTATATATTAAATTTTAATTATTCAATTATTAAATTAAAAAATTTTAATATATGAAACAAGTTTACAATTTTTTTAAAAAATTGAAAATTATATGACACCTTGAATTGAAAATCATATGATAGAGACGTAGACACAAATGGAGATGTAGATGAAGGCATAAGCAGACATGCAAGCAAAGCTATAACACACATGTAGGCTCAAATGTAATCACAGATACAATTTCTTTAGAAAGAGATATTGCCTGCTTTGCTAACTAAGAAGAATGAGAGATGTTGTTATTACATTTTAGTTTGATTAAACTATAATAACAAATCACATTAGTAAACTAAGTTTCTTATTTTGTTTCAAAATTAGTACTTGACATTTACTATGCATTTTATACAATTTTTATTTGGAGATTAGTACTTTTATATATGTTGTCTTTTCTTAATTAATTGTAAAAATATATGTATTTGTTAATTAGATCTCAAATACGTATAATTATTTTATTTTAATAAAAAATGGAATATAAAAATAAATTATTTAATTAGAGAAGGATCGACTACAATGGTAATGAAAAATTAAATATATTAGCGAGAAAGTAGCTAGGAATTTGCTATGACAAATATTGTGACGAATAAGCTATAGTTTTGGCGAAAGAATTTTTACAATATATAACAAGGAATTGGGGATGAATTTGCAATAGTGAAATGGTGAGGAATGAGTGACCATTTGGCGACAAAATATTTGGGACGCATTAGCGAAAAATTTGTGATGGAAACGTTGCGATGAATTAACTACAGTTTTAGCAAAGGAATTTTTACAATATGTAGCAAGGAATTGGCTATAGATTTGCGACAACAAAATCGATTAGCAACCAATTTGACAACAAAATATTTGCAACACATTAGCAAGAAATTTGCGACAAAAACATTACAACAATTTAGCTACAACTTTAACAAAGAAATTGTTGCAATACATAGTGAAGAATTAACTACGATTAGTGACAATATAGCAACATAATATATACAATGCATTAGCAACAAATTCATGACCAAAAAAGTTGTCATGAATTAGGGAGAGAATGTATGAATTCATAAAAAATTAAAAAGTTAATTTTGCGAGAAATTGGCAAAGGAAAGCAAAAAATTTGCGAAGGAATGACGAGGAAATAGTTTGACCGCTAATTAACTACTCATAAAAAAATTTGTCACTAATCTCTCACAAATTCAAATTTTCAAGAGATTAGCGATAGAAATGTCTATTACTAATACGATAATTTCTTATAGTGATAAAAATCCTAACTTTATATTTTTATAGACCTTATATTTGCACACATGTCATAGCTCATAGACTCTCAAGGGACAAAAGTTAGTAATTTCAAATTTTAGAAGAATGAAAACCAAATAAAAATATTTTTTAAGAACTAAAACTGAAAAAATATTTTATAAAGAACAAAAACAATAATTTTAAATATTAGAAGGATAAAAAATAAAATAAGAATTATAATGGTAAAAAAAATTTAAAAAAATCCTTTTATTTTATAAACACATAAGCATATTTAGGATTTCTTTTTTAATAATAGCCTGTAATGAAATTCGCATCATCTTTCATCCCAGTATTTATTCTTTCTTTCTCTATTATTGTTTTTCATTTTTTAACTTTAATGATGATAATAATATTAAAACCCAGGATTTTATGCTTACTATTCGATACCTATGCTACTAGTTAACTACATTTGATGCATTTGAACGAATTCCGTGGAATCAAATAGTTATGTGTTCAACCTTATCACATGTTACAGCCATTGATGGTCTAGATCCATCATGAGAAATGCAATAATGTACAAAATAGAAGAAGCAAGACAATACTTAAAAGATGGACTAAAATAGAGTAACAAATATGAGACTGATTTATGTAACAAATATTGATCGATTAAGGTACTTCATATTCAATATAAATTTTTCAAAACTTACTATTGGATTCAAAACTCCTTACTTCTAGATAGGCATGGCAATCTAACTCGTCTTTGTAAGTACCCGCCCGAACCCACCCTAATTTGGATGGGAAAAACTCGTGTTTATCTGATTCGGGTTCGGGTTCAAGTTTTTCCCAATTAATAAAATTGGGGGCGGGGGCAGGGGCCCC